TATCAACTACCTGAAATTTAGTTTCCTTCACAACACCCATAGCAAAAGTTGTTAGTATTACATTTTGATCAACAAATTTTGAAATTTAGTTTCCTTCACAACTACTTGAATTGTCGAATCCTGACAAGGTGTGCGCCTTGGGTAACATTTTGTCTTCAACTTGCATTTCCCGCAGTACCCTTAGTAATATAATATTTACAGAACTTCCTGGATCAATCAAAACTTGCTTTACATTAGTATCATATACAAGTAAAGATATTACCAGTGCATCATTATGTGGAGTTGTCACTCCTTCGTTATCTGCGTCATCGAACGAAATGCTTTCATTGTCAAGGACCTGCCGCACCCGTTTTCCGTGTGTAATTGTTACCTTAGAAACCTTGTTGGAAGCTGTGTAAGTTATGCCATGAATATCTTNTCACTTCACTGCTGGGTTAGTGCATTCCCTAGCAAAATGGCCAGCCACACCACAGTTATAACACTTGCTTCCTCCACTACCTCTACCACCAGATCTCCCTAAATTATCACCACCACTATGACCACGGTCACTCTCGCGTGAACAGTCCCTTGCCACGTGTCCGGGCAGCCCACAGTTATAACAAGCTCCACTATCACCACTACCACTACCACGTAGCGTACGTCTACCACTTGGACAATCACGTGCTACGTGTCCTAGCAATCCACAGGTATAACAAGCCCCACTACTACCACCACTGCTGCCACGTCCACCACTCTCACGTGAACAGTCCCTTGCTACGTGTCCTGTCAACCCACAGTTATAACAAGCTCCACTATCACTCACACTTTTACCACTTGGACAATCTCGAGCCACGTGTCCATACTCACCACAATTGTAACATTCCCTATCTTCACTTCTACCACCACCACCGCTGTTACGGTCACACTCCCTAGCTATATGCCCCGTCATCCCGCAGCTGTAACATGCGCCGCCGCCACCAATGTTATGATCACAATCCCTAGCCATATGTCCTATTCTCCTACAGGTATAACAGTCATCGCCACCGCCACCGCCACCACCACGGTTATTACCCCTAACACCGCCGCCGTCGTTACGGGAACCGTTGAGAGGTGATCCGTCGGGACCGGTGACATTAATGGCCTGATACTTATCGCCGTTACCGGTGATCGTGAACTCAACTTTTTGGCCTTCGTAGAGTGAACGAAAGCCGTCGGATTTGATCGCAGATTGATGAACGAATAAATATTCGGTTCCATCATCCGGTTTGATGAAACCGTAACCCTTTCGGCTACTGAATCGGGAGACGGTCCCTGTCGTTCTAGTAGTTTCGACCGCCATGATAACCGGATCGAGTGTTGTGAATTTGCCCTAACTCTTTGAAGGGTATATATAGTCGTATTTGTATTGAGGGCTGCGATTACATATGGAAAGAGATTTTATAGGGAGATTCATAAAGCCTTATTGTGTTGGGGCTTTATTGAATCCTGATTTTAGAGCGTGTTTGGATTGACTTAAAATAAGTGGATTTTCAACGGAAATAGCTTTTAAGTAAAAAAATAATAAATTGGATTGTCCAACTTATTGCTTTTGGCTTATTTTAAGTAATTTTTAATTTATTTTAAGTATTTTTTGGCTTTATCAAATACTGAAAAATAACTTAAAAACTGATTTGACCAACTTAAAAGTCAATCCAAACCCCCTCTTATTGGGCTTACTTATGCTTTTGGCGGTTGCGTGAGGATTAGCGGCGAAAAAAAAATTAAAATGAAGAGTGTAAGTTTTATGCGTAAAAAATAGGTATGTAATCATCGGAAAAAAAAAAGGAAGAATTCAAGTTTTATGTTTATAAAAAATTAGGCAATCATATCATTGTAATAATATATTATATACTATATTATATTAAATAATTATTAATTAGCATTAATATAAAAATAGTAGTAACTAATTAATATCACACATTACGATTAATTATAGTGTGAAATTTTGTAAATATTTTTACACTAGTAAACTTTAGAGTTGTTTGGAGATAACAATGAGAAGTTATGCATATTTATTTTTTCTACCAACAACAATTATTATTATCGTTATCTTATTATTATTTTACTATTTCCTTCATGGCATTCCAATTTTGCTTTAGTTTAATTTGTTGGAAAATTATGTTTCAAAAAATCTTTTGAAAATGATTTTGGAAAAATGGAAACGTAAGGAAATATATACTTAATTTAGACTATAGTGACTCAGAAAAGTTATGAAATTTCCAATTAATGAAATAAGTTGTAAATTTAAGATCGAAATTTAGTCCTTTACAAAGTTGGAACTTGAGGAAAAATATTTAATTTAGACTATTGTGACTCAATAACATTATGAAATTTCCAATTAATGAAATAAGTTGTATATTTACGATCAGGGGCGAATTTATGTGGAGGGAGGTTGAATACTTGCACCCATGCTCCCCTCCTTAGGTTATGTATAATAAATACTAATATTATGTACTCAAGTAACTACTTTGGTGCACTGGTGACTAAGTGCCCATTTTGTCCCTTAGGTCAGGGTTCAATCCCCATATAGTTCCTTCGCGTCAATATATATATATAACAAATTGACATAATATATAGTTTCATCATTCATGTCAAATGGACGTTCCGTGAATTCATGCAAAGAACATAATATTTTCATGTCAAGTCATGACCCCAGAAACCAAATTTGGTCAACGTTACATGTTCTCATTCTCTCTCACACAGGCATTGATTTCTATTCCAACTGAGCGAATCCCCAAACTCACAAGAAGAATGAATTTAACTCGTATATACTGATAAAGCAAGAAAATTAGTTGTATGAGAATTAATAATTCCATTAATATGAAAATTCCTCCACCCTATCAACGTGTAAATCTAAGGTAAACTCAAAAGAAATGGTTTTTATCAGAAAAGATAGGAGTAATAAATCAACGAGGAGCAATACATAAGAGAAAAAGAAACCTGAAATAATAGGAAAAAGGTTCAAAAGTGGACTAGATTTGCACTTATTGACTAAATAAAGAAAAAAGTAATTTATTACGTGACCCTTTTGTAACAAGGAAAAGGGGGTCAAATTTGACCTTGAACTATGCAAAATGGTTCAAATTTACCCATGAAATTTGCGAAATAGGTCAGATTTGATCATTATCAATCACATGGCCGTTGGTGGTTCTAAGTATTGAAGAAGACAACATTGTCGGGACAATGATCCACTTCTTAATATTCAAGGGGCAAATCTGAATCATCATTTCGCATATTTTAAGGCAAATCCAAAAAGACATATTCGGACCATTTCGCAAAGTGCAAGGACAAATTTGACCCTTATCCCTTAATACGGCACCAAAGCCATAGACTTTAAGATTGAAGTTGATTCAACTACTCCATGTTATTGATCCATGCCCCTCAAAAGTTCCAAAAATGGAGTCACAATTTATGAAAATATGTGCGCGCGCACACACAAATAAAAAAAAAAGAAGGTAAAGGTTACCTATCTACACCAATGCAGATAGTTAAATCAACATAAACTTAGCTCATGTTTGTACAAAAAAGCAAAAAATTCTGTAATCCGCTTAGTCAATAATTTAAAAAACTTGGCCAGAAATAACCCTCAACTTGAAATTTGCAGAATATGAAGGAATTGATAGGCTTTTATAGGGTGTGTGTACAATTATTTATTTAAAAAGTGACCTCATAGTTTCAGCATATTTTATGGATTAGGAATAGGTGAAGTTTTTTTAATGTATGTGTAACAAAATAAAGTGACGACATAGCTTCACCATCTCCTGCAGCAAGTGAAGACATAATGTCATCAATTCCCTTCACCATTCCCTTGAATCCATACATGTAAACAAAGGTGTTGTCTTTCTTGAAAAAAGTATTGAGCCATTCTAGTTTGATTAAGGGTCGTGATTCCATAGATAACTTTAATTAGAGGTTTGGGGTTTGATGCTTGAGAATAGAAAAAATTTATGGCAGGGAGCACTTTCTCCTTTAATGGAACTTATGCAACAAGAATCTGAATTATTCGGAGTAACAATGAGAATATTGAAAATCGGGTGGGAAACTGAAATAAAAAACCTTCTAGTTTGGAAATTGGATGTACATATTTTTGACCTTTCTCACTAGTTTGCTCCCTGCTGACAGCAAAGTCCACTCTGAATCGTTCAGTTTCTCAAACTCTTGGACCAATTAAAAAACAAGCTTCATATGCCAAAATCTTAAACACATTGTAATTCAATATAAATTAAACAATAAACTTATGTTTATCAATCTTTAGAGAGGGTGTGTAATATATCGAAATGAGTTTAACTTTGGAACCCTAAACTGAAATGTAAAAGAATCAGCTCACTTGAAAGATATCTATAGGTTACTCTTCATAAAAAATAGAATTAGTAACCTGAAAAATAAGACTTATTACTGTATACACTTATACTATAAAATGTTTTTATAGTGTTAGTGTATATAATATGCGTTTGTGAGGCTTCCCGTTACTGTAAAGAGTACACAACACCATTTGGAGTTACTCCAATGGATTGGCCTTTTCTATATGCATGGGATCTCTCCTGATCAACCCAATAGATAAATCAGCTCCAAGAAGCTGAATTTCAACTCAAGTTCGCCAACACACACAATTTATAAGGAAATTTATCAAAAATATCGTTTTTACTGTATGAAGTATCTTAATTTTATCATGCGTCATATTTTAAGGTCATCTATATCCTTGTCTTTAGCAAATTGTCGTATTTGTCCCAGACCCCAACAGAGTTGCAACTTGAAGTATAACGAAGGGTAATTCCAAATCATGGTTAGAATAGAGCTAGGGATAAATTTGAACCTTTTCCAAAAGTATTTTGACACGTAAAATCTATGCGGTCCATGCTGGAGTTTCTTCAAAGTCAAAGGCACGCATGATTTGCTAAATGAATGACCCCAAAGTATAACAAAAAGTTGTTATCACTGTCTAATGATTTGCTTGAACTGTACTAATTAGTCTCTTCACCTGGTTTGTTTCAACTTCTGGGAAATAGCTGATATGTTCAGATGGTGTAAATCCTCTAGTATTGTTATTTTACAAAGCTATTTTTTCTTTATTTTTGAATCAAAGGTCATTTGTTTGCTAACCCATGGACGTTCGAAAAGACCAGATCCATCAATAAACCTAGGTCCAATATTTGCGCGTACGAGCTAGCTCAATGTCTATATAAGTAGCTATTGATGTGAAGGATGACCAATGGTTGCACATGGCTAATTCTTGAGTTTGTAGTTTCTCTGCTTCAAATATATATGTCGAGGACATCATTATGTGGCTGAAAATGTCACGCTTAAATTGTAATCAGACGATTAAATGCACAATTCTGTTTGATTTGAAGTTTTTGATATATTTTATTTGAAAATTGAAAAATATCTCAATCAAAGCTTGACTTATCTGGTGTTAAAGTTGATTCAATTTCAAATCATATCCCCTGAGAAAAATCTATGTCATAATTCATCTAAAATAATAACACATGCCATTTTATGCCACAGAAGCTGATGTTTGAGTTGACAACTACTAACCAATAAGATCCTGTCCGAGCGCCTTCTACTTCTAATAAGCCATGAATTATATAGTAAGAAATGAAGCGAGTCCAGAGGTTAAGTACTAAACAGGTGCGCAACGTATTGAGTACTGGATCGAACATCATAAATAGATCGATGGAATACCTACTGAGGAATGTTCTTGCTTTCTTAGTAGAAAGCGCTTACCTCCTTAGTGGATTTACGTGACACGAATTTGAATTAATTAAGATAGTGGGTTCCAAACAACGAAAGCCCCAAAGAAAAAAATTATAGGAGGTTCTTTTGTTCTTTTCCTTAAGAAAGATGATTGACTGTGATGGAGCAATCAAAAATTAAGTAAAATGATGAGAATTTTACAAGTTTTATTCTTTCCTACTTCCTATTTGGCCTATTTTTTATAAAGAAGGAAGATGCTGCTGGTGCTCTTTTTTCCTTTTAGACATTGACATTAGGTTATATATTAATATCCAAAAATAATAATTACATAAAGGGTAAATATAGTCAAATATCTATATAATGATGTTATTTGTCGGCAGGGGCGAAGCCACACTTATGTTAGGATGGTCAACTGACCATCTTTTGTCGGAAAATTATACTGCGTATATAAGTAAAATATTAGGTTTTAGAGGTACATAACATATTTTAAATACCCTTTGTCGGATTTATTTTTTTTTACTTATTTCAAGTTTGAATGCCCTTCAAAAAATTCCTAGTTTCGGCACTGTTTGTCAGGATATTTTTTCGTTGTTATAACGAAATATTATT